AAGTATGACAACCGCTGAAAAAAATGCATGGAGTGAATTTATTTGGCTCGTAAAAACTTTTTTGAAAATAAGAACTCCGTCGACTTTCGTGACCACGTCAAGCAGTTACTATTATACTTTCAGCAATTGGGATGCAACTTGAGCATTGAGATGCATTTCCATCATAGCCACCTTGATCGATTTCCTGAAAATCTTGGAGATTCAGGCGAGGACCAGAGAGAACGCCTTCATCAGGATATTCGCACCATAGAGGAGTACTACCAGAGCTATTGGGTCTCCTAACATCAGTCCACAGGGAAATAGCATAGTGAACGCAGTTGCTCAGAGGCCTACTAGCAACTTCAAAATCGATTTCTGCTACATCAGAGGACTCAACTCAAATATAAACTGAGTGCACCAACATCTGCAATCAAATAGTTCTCATATGTTATTGGGCTCACAGAAACCAAAGTCAGTGCTTCAACAAACCCCGTCAATTTTCTATATCCCGGTTATGATTTCCACTCCCGATTCAGACGTAACTTCGGAATATCTCTTTTTATCAGAAGCGATATTTCCTGTCAACAGGAGGAAATGCTGGAACTCCAAATCTTTAATGTTATGTGGTTCAAAATAATATCACAGAAGATCACCAAATTCATATACCTACTGCGTTTATCTACACTTGCTGCACTACTTTCGACACTTGCAAACACCATTGACTTTCTGCAAATCAATCATCCCAGTGCCGAAATTTCCATATTCGGTGACTTCAATGTCCACAATATCGAATGGCTCAAATTTTCAAATATCAACGACGAAGAAGGTCGCGAAGCTGAGGCCTTTGCAATGAGCAGCGGACTTACTCAGATTATAAATGAGCCAACTAGGATTCCTGACCGTGATGGAGAATATGTTATATAGTCTTCTGGATCTATACTTAACAACCAATTCAGAAATGTACAGTCACCGTAAGGTGTCCATTGGTATCTTCTGACCACAAACTCATTTCAGTGTTGAGTGAAATACCAATAAATGTTGGGAAACAATTTAAGCCGCGCAAAGTTTCGCATTACAGATCAGCTGAATGGGAGGATCTTTAAGACCATTTCCGAAATTTCCCTTGGCTAGATCCATCAACTTATGCTTCTGAAGTCACGGAAATTAATAGGTTTGTTCTAGCAAGAAATTTCGGATGGTTTGAAACTGGTTTGATATTATATAGAAAGAAGTTATTAGTTTATAAATAAAGTTTCATGTTTGTTTATTATATAGTAGCAAATACTTTGTTTTTTTATAAATAGCAAATGAACTATCCACTGTGTTTCATATACTTCAATGTTGAAGAATATTCAAATTTAATCAGCGCTGGGGCTGTGCTGTCTCTCTAGCAAATGACAGGATGTGGTGTCATTCTCAGAACCGATTTTTTTAATCCGGTCGTAAAGTACCCACCCTTGAGCAAATTATATTTTTATACTGTTTTAAAAATCATTCTTATTTTACCTGAATGGATGTTTATTTTAAAATCATAACAAACGTGATATCGGATCACTCGATCACTCCGAATATTTGCGCATGTCACAAACTGAAAATCCTTACGAATTCCTCTGGACTACTTCGACAGTTCTCATACGGTTTGCAAACTGGATTTCGTCTTCGCTAGAACATGCGACTATTAGTTCGAATCCTGGATTTGCTTTGCTAGAACGCCTATATTCGTATGCGCATGCTTCGTACGATTCCGTATGGTTTGAAATCGCTGCTAGAACAAACCTACCGAACTAGGTTCGTTAATGCTCGCAACAGCTACAAACTTAGGATAAACGAAAGCAAAGAACTTCACAATCAAAGAATCAGGGATAAACTGCTTGCCAATCCTAACGGGTCTAGAACGGGTCTAGATCCTTCTGGTCGGTAGCTGAAGCTGTTACTGAAAACTTTACAAAATCCACAATTTCACCACTAACACAAGCGGATGGTTCAATTGCAAGAACAGCCATAGAAAAAGTGAATCTACTAGCTGAACAATTTGCGTCCCTCTCCACAGTCGATCATCTGGGAAAGGCACCACTCACTATTCCTACACTAGAATCCACAATACCGGAAATTACTTTTCGACAGCGTCTAGTCAGGCGAATTTTGAAACAGCTCAATATCAACAAGGCGTCTGGCTCTCATGAAGTGCCCGTCATTGTACCTAAAAAGTGCGCAAATAAACTCGCACCAGTATTTTGGCAGACTTTTCAACCTGTCTTACAAGAAAGGGGTGTTTCACCCTTGTTGGAAGATTGCTCGCGTTCAGCCTAATCCCAAAACGGTTAAGAAAAATCTTCCAAATAACTATAGACCAGTCGCTTTGCTATCAGTAATATCAAAAATCATGGAGAGAGCCTCAAATATTTGGAAGGCTTCAACATCTTGAGCGATCATCAATATAGCACTCGGAAACAACAGGCGACCTTCTATCGTATGTCACCCATATTTGGAATAACGCAATCGAGAAACATGGAGAATCAAGGGCAGTTGCGCTCGATATTTTTAAGGTCTTTAACCATGTGTGACATGAGGGTTTGCTGGCCAAACTTAGATTCTATGGCTTGTCGGGTCATTTCTGTGTATGGCTCTCCAGCTTCCTGAAAGAACGTTACCTGCAAGTGGCCGTCGATGAATATGTCTCGAATAATTTCACCATCAACGCTGGTGTTCCTCAGGGATCCATATGGTCTCCAACCCTCTTTTTATTGTATATCAATGACTTATTGGAAAAAAACAAGAATCCAATATATTGCTTTGCTGACGACAGCATGCTTGTCTCGTCATTCCATTTGCATTCCAGGACATTGGCTACAGAGGCACATCTTCACCGGCAGCAGGAGGTTGCATATCTTAATGAGGATCTACAAGTGATTTTGAATTGGGGTGAAAGTAACCAGGTTCAATTCAATGCCACAAAAAACCAGGCATCGGTTTACTCCACGAAGATAAATGTCTCCGAACCGGATATAATAACCTCAAGGTCAGACCATTCCGCTTTCTGCTTCGATAAGTTTGTTGGGGGTTGAAATGGACAGCAATATGTCTTGGCACAATCATGTCGCTGGAATTGCGAAGGCTGCTTCTCAGAAGCTTGGAACAATGATTCGAACTAGAAAACTATACACATCTCAGCAACTTTTGATGCTTTATAAAGCTCAGGTCAGACCTTCTTTGGAGTATTGTAATCATGTATGGAGCTCTGCCCCCAAACATACCCTGAAGTTGCTGGATTCCATCCAGAAAAGAGCCATCCGCCTGATTGAAGACGCGAACATCACGTGCAACCGCGAACGTCACTATTTAAGAACTCTTTCATCTGGGGAACTGCGTTTATGTGGAATTAACTTCCTGAGAACGTTTTTCCAAATGGATTTAATCTCCAACGATTCAAATCCAATGTGAATCGCTAATTTTGTACAGGCACCAAGTTTTGTTCTAATTAGACAGTGAAATACATTGTTATATGACGGAAAACCAATTTTTTTCAATAAAAATAGCTACCCTTCATATCTCAAAAAGTAGAGCTGCTAGCAAAAATCTGAGTACAGATTTGGAATCAGGCTACAAAATGCAGTTGGGTCCATAAACATTCCTTGCAACAAAAATGTTGTGCAGTGTTATGAATCAGTATATTCTGCATTATCATTTCACATCGTGTTATGGGAAAATGCTACCGAAATGAGTAGGATATTTATTACACACAAATAATTATTAGATTGATGTTTAACACAACTCCACGTGATTTTTGCAGAAAAATTTTCAAGAGTAAAAATATTTTGACAGTTTGCTGCATCTGCATAAGTATATAAATGTTGCTTGATTACAAATCAAAATCATGAAAACAACTACTACCACCAGTAACGCACAAAATTACTAAAAGTGCTACTAATTTAATAACACTGACTTAGAGAACATATCTATATTTGAGAACTTGCCAACTCATGCTGGTTTGTTGCTGAAAGATTTATTATTGTCTCATGCTTACTATACATCACAAGAATATTAATAATTGAGAGTTGAAAAACATGCCATCGTGGACCAGCCTACCCAACCAAGGCGTAAGCGCATTTGCGGCGCCGAGGCCAAAAGGAGAAAGAGTGCGAAGGAGGCAGGGGTGGCAGCAACTATAAGTGCACCCTCCTCCTCCTCCACTCCACCTACAACAGCAAGGGCACTTCCTGCGGCGGGCGCCAAGAGCTTCGCCTAGAATAAAGGCAAGCAACCGGCTGCCCCTGCAGAAAGCTCCCTGACTTGTGCACCTCCATGGAGGGAATCCCAAGAAGCTTGAAGAAGCCACGTAACGACAGTAATGTCCCTGCACCTTCCAAAACTTCGCGGAGGCCACCGTGAGACACCTTCCTGGAAAGGACAGGATGGACAATGAACTAGGAGGACAACTCCTCGGGAGGATGTACCATGGGTCACATGTGGTCTAAGTGCTGTGGGTGTACACTCACCCTCCCTACTCTACAGATACAGAATTGATCTGTTTATTTCTGTGCAAATAATTATTCTTTAATTTTATATTTATCTATTCTATATTACTGTTATTAACAATTTGTATATGTATGTTATGTATCACTATAACATGTATGTTTGTTTTTTAGATCTTCATACAGGATTAAAATTGTGAACATATTTTGATTTTGGATGATTACTTTAACATGGCTTTATACTAGGAAATGGCGCCTGATATCATTAAATATTAATGATTGCAAAGAAATAGAACCCTTTATAGAAAGTACTCAATTTGATCAAGTTGTATGTAAAGTGTTTCATGAACAGAAAATTGTCTCATTATTTCAAACTATTGAGAGCAAAGAAAATTTTTTCAATTTGTCATGTTTGATTTGATGAATGGAATAAGGCAAGTAGTTATCATATTAAAGTGATGAAATTCCATCCATTTCGAATTTGTTCATTAGTCAAGGTTCATGGAAATGATTACAATAAAATGTAAATACTAAATGATAAGATATGAGTTGACAAAGAAAACTGTTTGAAGTGCTTTATTTCAGAGATGAATAAAAATATAAATAATTGATCTATGTTTCAAAGTCCATAGATTAACAACAAGGAAAAGTGTGTCAGTTAAACATCAGCTTGCAATTGATTATCAAGTAGCTGAACTTTCTCTCCCGGTTTGAAGGCTGGCATGCCCAAATAGGGGCAAGAAGCACATCGAAAAGCATCTCCTAGGTAACAGCTACCGCATGATGACTTGGGAGCATCTTTAGTGCTGACTTCCTCAGTATTCTTCACTTCACCTTCCAATTCTTCAGCTAAACCACACGAACAGTCTTTGCAAGCCTTGCGCTTCCCAGTTGTGTTACATACTCTCAAAGAACTTGGGTTGGGCTTCTTCAAATCTTCTTCGTCTAACAAGTCATCAGGGTCTATTGTTTCAATATCGTCTGTTAGGTCATCTAACTTCCATACTGCTGGTGGAGTTTTCTTCAATTTGAGCAGGGCAACTGAGCCCGATTCGAATTTGGGCTTTATAGCACTGACACTGTCGTTTGAAATACTTACACTCATAAAACCATTCGTGATAAGTTCTAACTTTAGTCTATCCTTCTTGGATACATTTATTCCAAAAAGTTTACCACCTGGGGTTAATACCTTCAATAAGTGTGCAAATAATTCAGAGTTATACTTTTCTTCAGGTATATCACAGCAGATCACACTTGCAGATTCACTTGAGAGAGATGATAGTTTTTCAAAGGGCACTATTGTGTGATTAAGGAATTTATCTATTTTTTCTTGCACTGATTGGTTTCCTCCTTCTTTTGTAACCAACACAAGTAGTTTTTCTGACGTTTCAAGTTCACTGAAGAATTCTTCCATTTTATATATTTATAGTTATAGACACACTATTTAAATTTATCAATACTTTTCGACTTTAATTGAAATAGATTAGTAACATGAACATTTAACATGACATTAAACAAATTGACTGTTTGTTCTTTGTTCCTGTTCTGAGTACTACTGATGACATGACAACCATTGCTGCTCCAAGGCAAACACATTTTGTACGAAAATGACAGATGAAAATGTATGCTTTTCGCTATAATTGTATAGCATCAATGATCGCCAACACTGTCATTAGAATAATTGACAAGTGACAGCTTCCCACATGATCCAAAGATGGAATAAAGCAATTAGGGCATACGCAGACACTACATCGTATGTGAAATGTAAATATTTTGAAATGGTTATTGCAAATATATTGATTTGATTACTATTTGCATTAATATTAATTGAAAATTCTGCATTCACTAATCTAGCTCTAGCTCATATTATGTATCAAATCAAATGACAACACAGTCTCCTAAAACAAAAATCAAAAGGGGTGAGGTGAACTACCAACTACCATTCATAAATATTCATTTAAAATTCGTCATTTCTTTTTTCTCACAGTGGATTTATTTTTCTTTTAGCGTCAGCGGTTTTCGAGAGATTTGACATTTGACTGATTTGAAAAATAAGTGCTTTGTGCTCGGTGATCGTGATTTATGACTTCTATGAGTTCTATGACAGACGGACACGCCTATCATAATGAGACGGAAGACAGAAATAGACAGATTACTCGACTATCGAAGGACGAAGTGATTGAAATTTGTAAATATATACCATGGCCTCGATCCAATCAATTCAAAACCAAATGAAGTCAAATTGTATGCTTTTCGTCAATGTGGTATGCATGTACGAAAATATATTGAATTGTATAGCAATCCGTACAATTGTATGGGAGAGGGACTCTATAATAACTCTCTTTAGGAATAGCGACATATTTGACAATCATTTTTAAGTTTTGTAATCTGAACGACCATTCGGTAGTTATCGCGTGTAACGAAGGTAGATCGGTGATTTCTATGATTGCGACAGCGATTTTGATGTCTCCTGACCGAAATGATAGTTCTCTTTTTTTTACAAATGGATACAACTAAGAAGGAAGTCGAAATTTTCACCCTTTAAATCAAACCTAGGTAACCTAACCATACTTTTCGATGTATTAATATCAAAGAGTATTTTTGCTTTGTTAATATTCTTGACCGTGTGTGTTGTTGGAAAAGTGGATAGATAATATGGAGGGAATTAAGAGAATGAAAAGTAATACTGCTCACTGGGTGCTACTCATTGATTTTTTAGAGGAGCACCTAGAGATGGTTACGCATGCATTTGTAGGGATCGATGCAAGACAAAATTATAGAAAATTATGGAGTCAAGTAGCACAGCAATTAAATAGTTTGGGTTATGGGACGAAAACACTCGACAAGTGGATAGAGGTAATTTTTTCAAGAGTATTCGGAGGTGTCAGTTATTTATTAGAACATAAATTGATCAGTATATCTTTAGAAAGTGTTATAGCAAAGGTATATTTCAAGGCTTTTACCAAATGGAGCAGCCCTGATGACAACCATTTTCATGTGAACAGAGTTGCCAACTGTCCCTACACATGAAGCAAAATTCCGCTACCTCATAGTAACAAAAGACAATAGAGAGGTCCTCAGAATAATAATATGACATAGAGTTACCATGTCTATACCAATACAATACATGTGTTTTGAAACGGGTATCGTACTATCCTTTTCTGTACAACTTATGGGCCAGGGGGGTGGCGGGTAATGAGGAGTTATGGGTTATGGAGAGTTTGTTTACATTTGAAGTAAGTTGGACCATAAAACAGTGGCGGTTGGTTTAGTTGACAATCGGAGGGATATTATATATTTATAAAATAAATCATTTCAGGTGAAAATGTATTCTGTTTAAATAGTTCTTACAGGAAATCTGATTTATTATTAATGATTATGGAAATGAGGCCAGTTTTTCTACTATCTACTAGATGTTTATTCATGTATGGCTTCATAATAGAGCGCGTGGTTTACTGGGTTACAATTAAATTATTACAAATGAACTTATTCATAATAATGATAAATGTTAATTTTAAAAGTAATGAACTTTGCTTCATATAATCAGATGAAGAAATTTGTGATTCATTCTCAGATTTGATGAACAAGCGGTACGGTTTGTGAGGTCCGATATAAAGAGTTTTCGATTAGAAATCATGAATATTTATAATTACAATTGAGATTTGATAATCTTACGTGATTTCATTCAAATTTGATATCTAGGGGTCTTTGTGGACCGACATTATGTTTTTTTTCAATAATTCATGCTGATAAATTCTTTAATTACGAAAAATCATTAATGTGAATGAAAAAAAACTGTATTAAAAAATGAAAAATATGTTTTTCATATGTGTGCCATAGGTCATATTTATTCTGTTATCAACAGATTGCAAAGCTTTCTGCTCAATGTTCAATTTGTATACTAATAATTTGTATAATTTCATATTTCAAAACTTCTTTGCCATCTATCGAAGAAGTAAAGAAATGAGCTATCAAAAAAGGAGTAACTGCGAATATATTCGAATTTTTTTATCCATTTCTGAAGACGGAGGCATTTACCCAAAAAAGGTCGATAAAAAAACAAATAGTTATTCTTGTGCAACCGGTGTCAAATCTGTTATTGCTCACTCAATAACTAACTTACGTCACACAAAGAATATGATTTCCGTTTTGGTTTTTCTTTCTCTGCACGAGGCTTTTGCGATGCATACAGATAATATTCAATAAGTAATGACGGTTGTCATTGTTTTAACCTTTTTTTGGTTGGGATATGTCTAATAATATAGCCTAGTTTCAAAAACTGTATTTATAAGAATAAGATCAAAAAAATGATTATTAAAAACATCAAAAACAATCCCTTTCATAATATCGGTCCACAAAGACCCCTAGATACTAATTTTGAATGAAATCATGATTTCTAATCGATCATTCTTTATATCGGACCTCACAAACTGTACCGCTTGTTTATCAAATTTGAGAATAAATCACAAATTTCTTCATCTGATTTTATGAAGCAAAGTTCATTACTTTCGAAAGTAACATTTATCATTGTTATGATAAATGATGAAACCACCGAAACAAAAATTAAACAATCACCAAATGATGTCAAAAGTATCCCTAGAGAAAAGTCCACCCGATGTCCCAAATTATATGGGTTATCACACAAAACACACCTCTGATACCCATTGTCAGCGCAACTGGATCTCCACTACATCCACTTGACAGGTATCTGGCCAGCATGATGCAACCACTTACACAACATTTACAATCATATATCAAGAACTCATAGTATTTCATTAGCCTCATAAAAAACGTCAAGTTGGCCATGAACGATATATGCCAGTCTGAAGATAATATCCTTGTATCCCTACGTACTAACAAATAGGGTGTGGAGAAACGTGTGGAGAAAACCACGACACCAGAGAGTGCCAAAAATTCAGAGAGACGCCGGCCAAATGCGCCAACTGCCTGGAAGCGCATCCAGCTAGCTTCAGGGGGTGCAACATATTACATAAACCAAGGACAGCTCAATCAGCATGGAACAGGCCCAGACAATCGGATAGTCAAAGGTCCAAACCGGAAGCAAAGAGAACACTACCGATGGCGCAGACAACCGGAGGCATTAAAAACAACAACGACCTTATAAACGTTCTAGGGAAACTTAGGACCGAGCACCAAAAGATCGCGCAAGCGGTACTAATTGAACTAGTGACAGCACCCGGAAACCATTAATGCCAGCACGGATTCCAGAAAACTGATCGTGGAACATCACGGCTGAGCATGGACGTCATGGTAATCCAGGAGACAAGGCTCAGAAACAACACTAATTTCCACATCTCAGGATATAATATGTATAGGACAGACAGGCCAGGGGTTCGCTTCGCCGCGGGTGGCGCGGCACTTCTAATATGGACATACCTAGCGCACCAAGAAGACAAAAAGCCGTAACTACAACTCTAAGAGGATGTAGCGGTCAGAGTGAAACTGAAGCGCCCTGCCTCCGCAGGGAATACTACAGAGAGCCGATATAGCAGAAATGTTCCCAGACCACCATCCAACAGTAACCATAGGCGACTTCAATAAAAGAGGTAGAGTATTCGCCAGGCTACTAGAAGACTTTAAAGACATCGCGGTGGTTGCTCCAGAAGCTCCAGCTGCTACAGGCGATCTATGTAGAGAAGTGCGCGGGAAGTGCCAACCGCGTGCTTCAATCTACAGGACACTGTCACTGATGAAACTCATCAGAATCAGAAGACGCCTGAAGAGAAAATACCAAAGGACACGCGCTCCAATGGATAAAAGGAGTATGCACAAGCCGGCAGTATCCTGCGGCAAGAGCTGCGTGCAATTCGAGACTGACAATGAAAAACCCTTCTGGAAGAATTCAACACCGAAGATCAATCTGCATGAAGAATACAGAAAGAACAGGAAGGGACACCAAAAACTATGCCCGCCTATACACGCCGAGCAAGGAATCGTCTACACGGACCAAGAGAAAGAGGAAACATTTGCTGACAACTTCGAAAGACAGTGTAGAGAAAATGATGTCTTGTTCACGGACGAAGTAGAAGAAATCGAAAACCAGGTCGAAGAGACGGCACGAAAGATAAGACAGCAGCGAAGGTACAACGCGCAACCCCTAACACCGACATCTCCCGAGAAAGTGAAAGGCGTCGTAAGGTGCCTAGCCACTCGGAAAGCCCCAGGCTCAGACCAAATTCCAAACCGGGCACTGAAAGTCCTACCAAGGAAGGGTATAGCAGCAGTGACTAATATTATTAACGCTATACTCAGACAACAACAATTCCCGCACCCGCTCAAGAAGGCAACGGTCATTCACATCTCGAAGGCAAAGAAGAACCACATATTTCCGGATAACCATGCGCCAATAATCTCAACCTCTTCCATAAGCAAAGTGGCAGAACGAGTCATCATGAAAATACTAGAGGACCAAACCAGCGAACTGGGGATCTTACTAGACGAACAGTTCGGTTTCAGATCCAAACACTCGAGAGAGCTACAAGTCCTAAGGGTAGTATACTATGCGATATATGTTTTCAACCTCGGCAAACGATACCACAC